CTCATTAATTTTGTGGATGTTAACTCACTTTCTATGCTTGCTCTTAGCCCAGGTTTCAAGATCCCAAGTTTCAGCCAAATTTGCTGAGAAAGCCCCATAAACACAAAAATATTTTGTCTATATCTTACATTTGTGAGACCCACCCATTTTGTTGCATGCAACTGTAGTTCCTTCATTATATAGTATGCCAATGTATAAGTATTCTACAATTTAATTCTCTATGTTGTTGGTGGACATTTTCTTACACATGTCTTGGTACCCATGGGTGCACTTTTGTCAAGTGTACATCTAGGAGTGGAATTGCTGCATGATAGTTAACTTTCGTGGTTAATGCAAAAAAAGTTCCAAAGTGATTATACCAATTTACATTCCCACCACCAGTATGTAAAATTCTAGTAACTCTACGCCTTCCCAAAACTTGACATTGCCAATTATTTTGCCACTTCATCCATTCTAGTGCATGTGATGTGCTATTTTACTGTGGTTTTAAATTACATTTCTCCTACAACTGATTATTCTGTGTCTCTTTCTGTATACATATTGGCCTTCTAGATACTCCTTGTGCATTTTCCATTCAAGATACAGAACTTTTCCATGACTACAAAAATATCCCTCATGGTATCCCTTTACAGCCATACCCACCCTCTTACCTCCTACCATCTCTAACCCCTGGCAACCACTAATCTGTTCTCCATATCTATAATTTTGTCATTTTGAAAATGTTATATTTACAGGGAATCAAAATACAATATGTGACATTTATAAATTGGCTTTTTCATGGTTTTATTTTTATTGTATCAGTGTATTTGCAAAATTATTGGTAAAATTGGTTTGAGATGATGCTGTATGTTTTCAGAGACTGAGTCTACTTCATCCAGGTATCTGGTATCTCAGCATCTGAAGTCACACTGGTTAAATATTAGAAATTGAGATATTCATAAACTGAGATGCATGCCCTGTGAGGGCCTGCTTCACACTGCTGAGATGCAACCTTTCAAGATTCCAACCCAAGGTTTGGGGAGTGGAGCAGATTCACTATGGCTACTTTCCTTGGTGGGTTCAGGACCCTAATGCCCGCTCTTCTTAGCCTCTTTGCCTCTAAACTGCCCTCTCTGGATCATGTAACATCCCCAACTAAAAAGAAATTCCAAGCTCCTGACTTGCCTTTCTGAGATTCTCTCCTTCTCTGTATCCTAATCCAATACTTTTTTTCTGTCTTGTTAACTTTTTATGTCTTCAATCAAGTGACCTTTATATATTTTGTCAAGATTTTCTACTTATCCTCAGCAGCAGATAGGTCTAAATTACCTAGCCTCTTACTACTGGAGACAAATCTTTCCAATAAATTTGTTTTCTCTGACCCATTAAGGGTTTAAAATATATTGAATTTTGAATAAAAATTCTGATATCTGACTTCCATTAATGTCTAAATTCATTTGAGACAAAACTCAGGTAGAACAATAAAGGGATACTGCCCTTTTCGGAAAAGAACTTGCTCTTAACTTGGGTGATCTTCCCCCATCCCTATGGTCTATATTCAGTCACTTTATTTAAGTAACATGCCTGCTTGGCCACTGTAAGCATTCTTATTAAATGGAAACCTTTCAAATTTAATATGTTACTTTTGTGTTCCTAGAATCTTGTTCATTAACAAGATCTTCATTCTCTAAATTACGGTCACATTCATTCTTTTCTTAGCACCAGCATGGGGCATAGGGCCATATTCCTTATGCTATTCCTATTCAGTGACTGATCTTCCCTCCAGCCTATTCCAAAAATGTTTTTCTTACCTCTCTAGGACACAGCCTCTCCTGATAATAACTGTAAGTCCACTAATTAGCCCTTATTATTATTGAATAAAAAGAAACTGGAAAACATCCTCAGTAATTATTATAAGAGGCTGGTTGTTAAAATCCTCAGCACTACCCTTGATTTACATCGTAAATTTACTTCCCAGAATTTTTCTTATTTTTCTACTGGTTAACAGCATAATAATGATAGCTCCTCCCACATGAAACAGAGTATAAGTAAACAGGAAAATGTGAGACATTAAAATTAGCCTAAGACCAAAATCATTATGTAGATTTCTAAGAAGTGTTTTATCAGCATATATTAAGGAACTACTGTCGCCTGTGTGTTGCACTACAGTATTTCATACCCACATATAGATTTAAAGTGATAGAATATCTTGGTTCTCAAGAAGCTTAAATTTTATCTGGAAAGAGAGATCACACTGAAAACAGTATAAAATATACATGAAATACTTTTCTATATCTAAAATGACAGCATAAAAGAAAGTGTATTATGCTACTAGAAAGCCAATTAGAGAGGTAACAATAAGTTGAGGATGTTGAACAAGAAAGGCTTTTGAAAAACATTCTTGGGTCAATTTTCAGGAGAGTTTTAGACACAAATTTACAAGAGAGAGGGGGAAAGTATTCCAGCAAGTGGCAATTCTTGCAGAGCTTGTCTTTCCAAGCACTCAATTGATTCAGCTCTATTTTTTTGTCAGCAGACCTTTAAAGGTGATTTTGTAGTGTTGACATGGAATTGAGATATTGTTAATCTTCAAGAACATGTAGACAATCAAGTATTATTATATTTAGAAATAGGAAATGAGAGAGAATAACAGATAGGTAATCAGCTCGAGTCTCAGTTCAGTCTTGTCACCTTCCCTCTCGGCAGAAATACTGCAGGAGGTAAGGTGTTAAGTATGTAGATGCTGACCTTAAGGAGTTTACAACTAATTACCATTAAGATTTAGGCACCTAAGCTAGAAATTAAACTGCATGCAGTGGATACCTAGCCACTCAAGAAATGTTGCAAAACAGTGGATGATAAATATCAAAAACATCAGTGCTGACAAGTCCCAGCAAATTTCATAGGAGGTGGAATCCTTGGAAGAAAAAGGCTTCATGAAAGAGATATAGCTTAGAATCACTTCAGCATGGGAACCACAGTGGTCCTCTAATCCAACTAGATGAATCCTTTCTATGACATCACTAATAAATGGCTCTTTCTCTCTTTTTTTAATCCTGATCAGTAACAGAGAATTTGCTTTCATGAGACATCAATTTTAGAAGTTTTAGAAATAATGTTCTTCCTTATACTAAGCTTCAAATCAGCCTCCTTCTTAAATTTAATAGTGCTATCCAGAGCTTCTCAGATGGGTGCCCTGGCACCAGGTGTGTTGACTTACTTATTTCCCTGGCCCTCCAAGATGTCCTGCAGAGACTGAAGTACCCACAGCCCCAGAACCATGACCAGGAGAAACCTCTTGTGTTTATCACAGTTCCATAAATAGTATCACCTGTTATGTATACTCCACTTTAAAGAAGATTGTGAAGCATTGCTCAGTATAGTGCATTGGTGAAGAGATCAAGTCTCTGGAAGTCTCTTGGATCTAACAGATCCAAGTTAGAACCTTGGCTCTGCCAGATATTGGTTTTCAGGCCTTGGGAAAGAAACTGCGTCTTTTCAAACCTCAATTTCTACACTGCAAAGTGGGTGCAATATTACTGCCTCCCTTGTGAAGTTGGTGTAAAAATTAAAGATAACATAATAGCACTAAAAATAGTAATATTGTCATTAGTTTTGCTTTTACCCTCTTAAAAATGCTGTAGAATCCCTCTTCTACTTTTATAAACTTTAGAATATTTAGTTTAACTATTATTGCTTCCTCTAAGTACTCTCCTACAGCTAAATAGCCTAAGTACCTTCAGCATCTCCTCATCAACATAAATTCAAGTTCCTTCATCATCTTATTTGCTCTATTTCTTTCTTTTTGAATATGCAGTACTAAGAACTGGATGCATCCCTGTAGATTTGGCTTGATAAACTAGTCCTCAAAGAGTGGATGGAATAGGGCAATGGAAGAAAGATATTCATGCTGGAGAACCGTGTAGTAAGCAAAGAGAAAGAAGTGATAATACATCTATCATGTTTATCAACAAATGGGCCTCACTGGCTAAAACATAATCATATGGGGGGAAAAGGATTTTAAAGCGGCAGGATTGTGAACTGCTGTATTCATGAGACTATAGATTCTATCCAATGTAAAGAAATACCACCATAATTGTCACTACAGGAGATCGATCTATCTTTTGAAAGCAAGAAACCACAGTATTTATGTGAGCTACAAGCAAAATGTCATACATAATATAATCCGGTTTTGCTCCCCTAGGGTTGTCCCAATGGGATGCTGGAAAGCTGGAGATTATCAACAAGCTATGCATACCCTGGGCTTTCAGTGGCTGTTGGCTGTTGCATTCCACTCTGGTTGAAAGAGGCTGGTAACAAGATTACCTTGTTCTATCCTGAGAGTCACAATTCAGGAGTTTCAACCTTCAGATTTCCTTTATTCCTGACCCTTTTTATTCTAGTCTTCTGGTGTTTCTTCCATTCATTCCACATAATATAATGCTTAGAATCTGTTGGTGTTCATGCCCCCACCTCTGCCAAGTATTAGTTGTGTGACATTGGGCAAATTATTCTACTTCTTTGTAACTCAGTTTCCTCTTCTGTTAAAATGAGGATTTTTTTTGTTTGTTTGTTTTTACAGCACTTTAGCAATAAATTGTGAACACTAAATGAGATAATGTATTTACAGTACTTACAAGAGAGCCTGGCAATAATAAGCATTATTTATGTTAACTGTTACTTTGAGTCATTATTATTCATGCATTCAACGAGTGTGCTAAGTTCAAGGGATATGGTGGCACACAGGACAATCTCTTACGCTCAATGATCACATTTCTCTTACCCTCAATGCTCACATTTCTTCTAATTTTGTGAGAAATGCATTGACTTTAGAATCTGACTCCTGGATACAATTTCAGAAGCTGCTGTTTATCTTGGTAACTGTGGTAAGGCACTTTGGTAACTGTGGATAAGGCACTTAACCTCTCTGAGCCTGTTTCCACATCCGTAAAATGATGATTAATAAATTCTACTTGGAAGATTTGTTTTCACTATTAAATAAGACAAAATATGCAAATTACCTGGCACATTTGGAGCCAAATATACTTTCCTTTTCACAGTCTTGTGGACACACCTGAGGCTAGAGAACTCCACTCTGAGCTTAGAAACCAGTGCAGTCTTCTCAAGCGCCAAGGAGGAGTAAGGGCGGGAACTCATCTGCAGGAAGGGTAAAACCCAGAAGGCGTGGGAGGAGACAGAGACAGGAGGGCTACAGGGACCGCCCCTGGCCTACAACTCCCGGGATGCTCCGGGAGCGCCCCGCCCCGCCCCGCCCCACCCCGCCCGCCAAGGCGGGCGCTGCCCACCCCGCGGAGCCCAGCGGCGTGCCGAGGCTACAAGTGCGGCGGCTGGTGATTGGGGGACTTTCTCCGGGAGCCTTGCGGGGACAACGCGCGGTGCTCCAGCCGCACCGGGTGGCCGAAGTAGAAGGTGAGCGGCGGGGAATGGGATGGGGTGGAGGCTTTTGGGTGCGAGAGTGAGAGCCCTGTAGCCTAGCGGAGCTGGAGCGCACTTCCCCGCTCCCTGCCCGAGGTGTCCTGCTTCGCGGACACATCCCTATCTCGAGTGCCTCGGTGGGCGCACAGTTCACCAGGAATGATCTCCCGATCCCTCGGCGCCTGGCGGGGGGGGGGGGTCACCGCGCGGGGGGGGTCACCGCTGCCCGGGGCTTGCCGCTCGCTGTCCTGGCTCAGCGCGCGCGGGGCGCATCCAGAGGGTGCCCCCCCCCGAGACCAGCCTTTTCTGTGTCAGTTTAAAGCAAATATTAATGCTGTTAATTTATGACAGACGGGCGAGGGAAAGTGCTTGTCCCCTCGCTTTAAGGTGCGATGTCCTTAACTGGGCTTTTAAGCAGATCAGAGGAAAAAGAGGGAGAGGACGGAAGAAAAGAGCCTTTAGCTGGTCCCCTGGGATTATCCATTCTCCACTGAGAATGGAAGCCCCGGATTAGGGAGCTGCAAAGGACTGTGCTGCTAGCGTACCTCCGATACAACAAGCGAACGAGCGAGAGTAGCTTTTCTTTAAAGAGAGGTAGAGGTGGCTGTAGGGAAGTAAGTGGGGATTGCTGTCCTGTTTTGTTATAAATTGAAAGTCTCAAAGAACCCTGCTGATTTTATCCAAAGTAGGCTAGTGTGATGAGTTTAATTGTGCCAAAGGTTAATCAGAGCCCCTAATGCCTGAGAAAACTGGGAGAAGAGTTCTCGGTAATTGATGAAGCCTGTTACCATCATTTCATTCATTGAGGGATCCTTCAGTGGGGGGTTTGTTCTAGTTTACTAGTGATTCTTTTACCCTTGGTGTTTTTTGCTGTCTTCACTGTAGAGAAACTCCGATAATAGAAGAAAAGCGGGTTTTGTTTTGTTTTTTTGTTTTAAATAAACTCTCATGTAGAGCAGAAAACATGTCGATTCCCTCTCCCATATTTTGAGTTGCCAGGTTGACCTTAGGTGACCCTTGCCTGTGCTTCTGTTACCAGCTTTGGAGCTGTGGATTTTGAATCATAAGAAGCCTCAAGCCGTTGGGTTAAATCAATTATCACCCTGGATTTGGAAGTAAAATAAAAGCCTTTGGTTAAAATCTCTATATTTAGTGATAGTGGAAAGTGAATTTTTATTCCTTGGAAGGATGGCAGAGGCAGAGAAAGATAGGCAGATGGTTTTCTGCTCAAAGCAAAGTTCTCTTCCAGGAATGCCCTTTGCTGCAATGAGGGATGAAGAGTGACATGTTTATAAAATTCCATAGTTAACCTTGGAAGTAGCGTCTCACCTATTTGCCTCCACAGAACTCTTACTCTGTGGGTTTATAGCTTGTCTTTTATTTTCAATTTACTTCTAGATTGGGTTTGTAAAACTATTCGGATGATCAATTTCTTGTGCATGTGTGTTAGCAAAGCATGCAGAGAGGGAGGAACACAGACCCACACAGACCCATGGAATGGGAGAAACAGATCCTGCAGCTGGAACAGGCAGGTGTGTGTGTGGAACAGTGAGTTGGCCCATAGTATTTTGCAGGGATTGCAGTAAGGTCTGTTGCCTATATGCTTTGGGGTTCCGAACATGCTCCCCCATGGAGCAGTGTTCCATGGGGAAAGGAGGGAATAGGGCTGAGTAGAAGCACAGAGAATAAGCAGCATGTGGACTTGTAAGTAAAGGGCTGTGTGACTAGGGTCATTGAATGTACGACATGTAAGGTTAGCAGAGGTGGCTGATTAAGCTGGCCTTTTTTATCTACTTCAGATCCGCAGAATCAAAATGCTGAGTTCCTGCCCAGCTGATAGGGGTGTATAGTCATTCACTCGTGGTGATGCTCTAAAGCTAATCTGTATTAGAATCTGTTCTGAACTAGGGAGAGTGTAAACACGTACAGTCTAATTGAATTAAGAAGTCTGTGCTTCCCCAAGTCCTCCAGAAAATTGGCAGCTCTACTAAAAAGGGCTCTTGCCTTTCTCATTTGTCTTTTTACAGGAAACCTGCCTTGTCGTTTGAGGGATCCTCTTGCAGGAATGTGTGAGTCCTTGGATAAATTTGGCTTGGTGATGGCAGTATCCTTTCTCAGTAGACACCGCCATTTCCTCCATGCGCCTTTTCTACACTGACCTAAGTTTTTCAGTGTTAATCACTATGATAAGTGAGAGCATTTGCCCTTTTCACACTTTCCTGCCACTAGGTATCCCCTCCCTTCTTTTTCCTGTTTGAGGTGGAAAAGGGGCTGAACAGGTGCAGCTGTGAAGAAAATGGTGCTCTCAGGAGGAACACTCCTGGAAATACAGCCTTAGCTTCTGTTAGGTTCTTATCTAACTCTGTTGTTATTGGCAGACTTTCCGGAAGCTGCTGGGGGATGTCTGACTAGCGTTCATGGAGCTCTACTCCCTTGCTAAGAAGAGCAACCAGGCAGACCTCTGTGATGCCAGGGACTGGAGTTCAAGAGGGCTTCCTGGTGGCCAGGCAGATACAGCAGCCACAAGAGCTGCTCTCTGCTGTCAGAGACAGTGTGAGTCCACCCCAAGAGCAACTGAAATGGAAGGGTCTAAACTTAGTCCTTCTCCAGCATCCCCTTCCTCCTCTCTGCAAAACAGGACCCTTCTTCCAGACGCCTTTCCACCAGGACCTCTCCACTCAGGGAACAACCAAATAACAGCAGAACAGAAAGTCTGTAACTGCTGCAGCCAGGAATTAGAAACTTCTTTTACCTATGTGGACAAAAACATCAACTTGGAGCTGCGGAACCAGAGCTCGCCATCAGTAAAAGGGCATGATCACCCTGGGGAGCTTGGCTGGGAAAATCCAAACGAGTGGTCCCAAGAGGCTGCCATATCTTTGATATCTGAAGAGGAGGACGATACAAGTTCCGAAGCCATATCTTCAGGGAAGTCAATAGACTATGGTTTCATCAGCGCCATCTTGTTCTTGGTCACTGGCATCCTGCTGGTGATCATCTCTTACATCGTCCCCCGGGAAGTGACAGTGGACCCCAACACTGTGGCAGCCCGGGAGATGGAGCGCTTGGAGAAGGAAAGTGCAAGGCTGGGGGCTCACCTGGACCGCTGTGTGATTGCAGGGCTCTGCCTCCTCACGCTGGGGGGCGTCGTACTGTCCTGCTTGCTAATGATGTCCATGTGGAAGGGGGAGCTCTATCGTCGAAACAGATTTGCCTCTTCCAAAGAGTCTGCAAAACTCTATGGTTCTTTCAACTTCAGGATGAAGACCAGCACGAATGAAAACACTCTGGAACTGTCCTTGGTAGAGGAAGATGCGCTTGCCGTACAGAGTTAATTCTGGTTGTGGACATCTTGAGAGTCTGCCTTGGCATTTTATAGTATGAAAAAAGAAGTTAATTTGTAAAAAAAAAAAAAAAAAAAGAAAAAAAAAATTCACAGTGCAATTTATTTGCCTGGCAAGAAAAGTTTAATTCACAAACCAACAGCCAATGAGTGATTTTGTTCTCCATGTGTCTTCTATTTAGAAGAAAAGTCATGTAAGATGTATAAGAAACCACAACCAGCCACACCTATCCTTCTGAAGAGCTCTCGAAGGCTAATTGATCTGTAATGGCCAAGAACTTCTACTTCAATAGAAAAATATTTCTAATGATTCAGTACACAAATATATGATATTACTCTTTGGACACTAGGTGGTCCTACGCATAGTCAGATCAATTGCTATTTTGTGAAAAAGAACTAAGCACTAATCAATAATAAGGCTTACATTTAATTCTCAATGGTGCTTATCCATTTTCTTGCTAAATTACCCTCCTTGTTATTTGGCTAAACACTAAAATATGGAGTTTTGAGTTTGAATATTTTGAAGTTTGAGGATGTTGGGCTATTTTTTATTGTAAAAAACACTATGTTTGAAATTATTCCTGTATTCAAAAATGGCAATTAAGTCATTAGGATAAACTTTCTAATAAAAGAAAATTACGTAAATCATTGTAAGGCCAATGTGAATTTAAACCACAGTGTTAGTGCCAGATATCAGCCAGGATCACTGCTCTTTTGTAAAATGAAGTCAAATTAGTTACTGATATAAATTTTATCTTTTGTGATTTTGCCATCATACCAGTTATTTGTGCTCTTGAAGTCCACTATTTCTCACACCAAAGAGGCAAGCCATGAGACATTTTAAATATATTTCCAGACATCTAAACATCTGGGCAGATCATGATTGGCCAGATCTGAGAGCAATCATGATTGGCTCTGGTGTGCTCCCAGGTGACATCTTGTTATTGCTGTTTGGGAAAAACCACCAGTAATATTGCAGCTAGACTTTTGGGGACTGTGCCTAGCAGGCTGTATCACTTGTTCTAGGCCAAGCAACAACTGCTTCCCTCATGACAGCAGCAGTCCTTAAGCCCAAAGCCAAAAAAATTAGAGAGAGAGAGATTAAAAACGCCGATTCAATGGGCTGTAGTTATCGTCAGAACTCACCTCCCACTCAGAGTGGTCTAGGTGTCATTCAGTAACTGTGAGCTCTTGTCTCATAAAGCGCAAACTCTTGCTCTAAGAGCAGCATGATGAGCAAGGTACTCACTTTGCAAGACACACACCGGGTGTCCACAGTGACACAGTGCCTCATTAAAGTGACAGTTCAGAAAGAGGATGGGAAATGCAGCCTGAGAAATACCTTACATTTTGCAACTCTACCTGGAGGTTTTTCCAACCTCTGCTTTAGGAGTTGTAACTCCCATGATTGTGTTACCAGGACGAGGGTGTCATTCTTAAAGAGGACAGGAGGTAGGAATTGGTATGAGATAGCAGGGATGAGGAAGTAAAAGTGATTTCTTTGTAGATTTTTAAAGGCTATTTCAAATGTCTGAAATTTGTGTTGTTGTGGACAACTGTGGAATACATGGGTGACTTTGGCTAGCAAAATGTGTGGATCAAGATATTTATGTGGATGAGCTCTCATGGGTGCCAGAGATTGATTTGATGAGTGAGGTATGCTGCATATAACTAAGAGTTGAGGTGAAATACAAAAAAGGGAGCCTCGGAAGACAATAAAAAAGAGAGGAGGGGCATATGAAAGAATTATTAGGTAAAAATAAGAAATTATATGGGCATCAGAGGAAGCTAGAGGTAGTTAATTGCCTTATGCTACAGAGCAGTACTGATGGCCAAAAAGAATTGAGATGACATAAATATGACTTTTCTTTTCCATTGCTGTTTCTTTGTGCTTTTTGAACAAACTTTGTTTTACTGTGACTCTCATTTCATTACTTTTGTTGAGGCTGCCTTACCAGTGGCATAAGTTTTATATTCTGAAGGTTTCTAAGTCCAGCTCCAGCCTGCTTAAGGATCCACTTTGGATGATGTGGAGACAAGAAGGAAACAACCTACTGCTGTGCTGAGTGAGTAGATCTAAGCTGTATGTTAAAAAAAGAAGACATTTAAAAAATTACATGTTTATTCATAGAAGCTAAGTGAGATCAACTGAGTTTTGTTTTTATTTATTGACAAAACAGGATTAATTAGCCAAATGGCAGACTAAATTGAATTAATGTGGAGCCGACTTTCAGTTTATGAAGGAAGAGGAGTTTGGGAATCAAGTGTTAGGAAGCCTTTTCAAGTGATGATAAAGCTTTTCATGCAGAAGCATTTAATGAATCTTGCAGAGCTACCAAATAATGTAGAGGTGATCTAGAGGCAACATTTCGAAAAATACCATTTTGGGAAAAAAAAAAAATTCAAGGGGGAAGAAAAAGACCTAACAAGTCAAAATATATTTCCTTTTTTTCTAGAACTCTATAATTTTCTTTAAAATTTAAAATTGAAATGTAAGTGAATGCATATTTCAACATTATTTAAATCTGCTTATATAGAGAGCACATATCTTTTAAGACTCTACTTATCTGACGGCAAACCACTACACATTATATGATTTAGAAAATCACCTGGATGACTCCTTTTGGGCTGTGGTGACACTATTCAGATGCTTGCCTTAGTCGACTTTTCCCTGGGTATTTGGTTTATGTAGCCCTTATCCATCCTGGCAGTGCCTGAATTCAAGATGAAGATTACTTGAATTTAAAATGATGGTAACACAGGCAAAGAAAAGCCATGTGTTTTATTTACTGTTGTTTCCAATCTGATGAGGAGTGTTTTTGGCTCTAGAGGTACTTTGGCAAGACCAGGTGATACATTCTATAGGCATTAGCCATACAATAGCTATGGTGTTGGTCTTGCATTCTTCATGGGGATTTATGACCTTACATTTGTCTCTTCAACGTGGTGCTGGTTGTTATCTATGAAAGTTTTTATTGCTAGACCTAGAGAAGAAAAACATTTTCAGTGGTTCTGGGTCTTTAGCTTATTTACATGGTTTTAGAAATCCAAACTCAGAGTCATCTTCCTAATCTCAATGAGAAGACAGCTCATCTTTCAGCAGTGTGGTCCAATGAGCTGAGTTACAGAAAGAAAGCTGCTTTTCTCCTTTATTACTCAGATCTACACACTGCTGATGGGTGATTTAAGGCTCCTAATATCTTTAATAAGACAATCCTTTAAAGGGCGTCTTAAACTGTTACAGAGTTTGCAAAGAGTTTTCTTTGCAATGCTGTGTGTCTTTTCCACCCACTGGGAGCTATTAAAGTAGATCACGTAATATGATGTACTGGCCCCTCATATAAAGAACAGCTTTTCTTCATGCTCCCCACTGCATAGCTGATTTATAGTTTAGAGGAAGACAAGACTGCTTGGAATCATCAAGTTCTTGGAGGCCATGGGTGCTTTTACCCACATGACTGCTATAACCCTTGATTCTGTACTATCAAGATACTTGCCTTGGTATCACATGCTTTGCTGTCTGCTTAAAATATGAGTCCATCTCCCTCATCTTTATTTGTTATAGAGACCCAATTGGACCAGTGCTGGCACATGTCCTTTAAGGTACAGCTTCTGAAAAGAGACTGCACTACCAAACTTATGTGTGCCTTTACCTCAGTCCCCAGGATAAGGTTAAAAAATGGCTCTACTTTTTTTTTTTTTTTTTTTTTTCTTCTTTCCAACAAGCAAAACTTCTAGGCAGAAGCATGTGAACATTTTGGTCTTCATCTTTCTCATGTGCAATGGCAGGTGCATGTAAAACTTTACTTGGATTAATCGTCTAAATATTTTTTAAAAGTGCTCTATGTATACAACTCTTAAGAGAATGATTTTCAGCCTGAAGATCAGATTTCATTGCAGCAATTAATGTCACCACAAAAATGTGGTCTGACAAGAAAAATTCACAACCTTTACCAATAGTTCACCTATTATAGCAAGATGTAATACTACCAGTACTTACTGTTCTCTGTAATGGGTTTAACCTTTCCCAGAATTGGACATAAAGAATGACTATGATGAGAAGATTATAATGAAGTCTCACTGGCTTTTCTAGTGTAAAAAGAGTTCCCAGTAAAGAGAATTAACATATCTTTGTCTTTCAGCTGATTTTCAGCTATATCATTTTATGATTCATAATATTCTATATCTTCTTCCAACTTTTATAAGTCTTGGGAAATAATTTGCCTAGTGAATTGACACTGTAAAAAGCAAGATGTTATTTTAAACACATAAAGCTGATTTCAAAAATCTGTGGCTTACACTTAAGAGTGTATTTGTGGTTTATGTTTGTGTGAAGATTTATTGCACTCAAGTCTGTGCATTCGGACTATATTTTATAGATATAGAGCTTTAATATCCAAAGCTATTGTTAGAACAGTTTTATTATAGGAATTTGGCATGCCTTACTGTTGACATTAAGAAAAGTCTTTCACAGGTCATGAATGAAGAATTTGGAATCAGCCTCAGAATGAGATGCCATAATTATTATAAACCTGTTTTGGTCGTTCAGCCTCCTACAAATGTTTGTTGGTTTATTTTTTGACTTCTCTTTCAGACTCATAAGAGTGTGACACATTTATAAATTATTTTACCATGATTTTCTATGTTATTTCAGGGAACTATAGGGAACATATATCTTTGTTTCGAGTTTGGATAACTCTCCTGTGGTTCAGGAACAGCTCTGCCTATTTTTCCACTGCCATCTTCAGGCTTCCTAGCCAAGCTCTAAACAAATGTCATGTAAGAAAGATGAGTTATTTTATATTGTGTATTTAGAGTTTGTGCCCTGTGGTTCTCATTGTGCTTTTAATTTTATTTTTCTTGCCAAAAAAAAATAATAATTTGACATTGATTATGTGCTTTTTGATATTTTCAAGGGCAATTATTAAGGTTATGAGTTCTTTCTTAGGGCATTTGATGCCTTATATGTTAATAGCAAGTGTGTCATACCATTTTAAAATAAAACTACTAAAATGCTTTATTGCATTTAACTTTTATTTAAATTGGAATCTGTAATGCTGATTTGGTCTTTTTAAATTATATTTGAAATTATTTGTCCAAAAAATTAAAATGAATATTTACCCCTAATTCAGGTTTGTCATTCTTCTTGCTACCATATCACTATATAATGTAGACTGTGCCTTATTTTTTGTTGTTTTATAGGAAGTAGTCCAAGTTATTTGGGTTTCTCTAAATCACTCAGCATTTAACTTAGAGTATATGTTTTATGATATGGAAAAAATACACGAATGGATATTTTTTAAAAATACTTATCTGAGTGTCTAGAAAGCTTTTAGGTGAGAAAGAAATATCAAATTAACTTATACCCTTACCCTTAATCTTCTAGTAATCTAATGTTGATCTCCATTTTCATTCACAGAATGTATCACAATTTATATTATTAACTGGAATTTTATCCTTATTATAAGTGTGTCAAGGTCAAAAACTCTAAAGAGACAATTGGAAGTGAGGCTTATCTAATCCTTTATAGGAAGAAAGTCTACTTCTTTAGATATCTATTTTTTGCTAGAAGTTCTTTTGGGTTTTGTTAACCACCTCTGATCATTCAGAATGAGCTAAGTGATACTGTTATGACAATTCCACAG